TCAGGCTCGCGAGTGTCATGAATAGAGATATTCACGAAATTTGTGATTCACCTTCGATGTGCAATATTTGTTCTTTATTGTTGTGTAATGATCGAATTAGCATATGTGATCAAATTAGCATACGTGATCTGCTGACTTATATATGAGTTGTCTTCTATTTGTTAGAAATTTACATATAAAAACTCTATGTAGGGGCGAGATTTGATTGTCTTTGTCGTGTCTTGGTTTTGCTCCAGAGTGAAGTATTGTCTTATCGTCTCGGGTTTTCTTCGTCGCTCATCAGTCTTCAGCGACACAACAGCTGGCGATCAGGATTTGGGGTTTTGGTTGCCGAAAGTGGTGAAGGAGAGCACTGAGGACTCGTCTTCCATACGATACCTTAGTATCACGCGCCCTTTACTGCACCTGAGGTGTCAGCATGTGGCCAACTTGATACTTTTGAGGGTTTCAGTGAAACGTTTTTCTCCTTGCTCGACTGAGCTGCATATTGCCTACTTGTGACTGGGGTCATCAGTGCGGTTCAACCGTCTCGGCACAAGTAACAAGAGACGCTTCCTCTGGGGTTAGTGCCCTAGCGTCGTTAGCTGCGGATCTACATCAACAATGAACGACATCAACGATTCTTCATCGACTACGGTGGACCCGCTCATTATGTTGCTACAGCAACAACAGCAGCAAATGCAGCAGTTCGGCACGCTGTTGACTCTACTACAGCAAAAAACGGCCGGCCAACGAACGAGCACTCCTCGACAACCATCGACGGCAATCGCGTCATCCGCCATGGATTCCGTGCTCGAGAATACCATCACCACCTTTTCGTATGCGCCATATGAGGATATCACATTCGCAGCATGGTATAAACGCTATGAAGACATCTTCAAGATGGATGGTAAAAATCTAGACGATGCTGCAAGAGTCCATTTTCTCTTAACAAAGTTGGATGCGGTCGTATATGAAAAATACTCCAACTACATTCTGCCACATTAAATTCGAGATATACAATTCGACGAGACGGTTACGATCCTAACGGATATCTTCAGTCCACGAATATCGACGTTCAATCAACGTTATCAGTGCCTCAAGACAACGAAAAGCGACCGTGACGACATCATCATGTATGGCGGAATCGTTAATCGAGAGTGCGAGAAATTCCGACTAGGCGA